GCTGGGGTCACCAAGTATCATTTCCTGTTTAGATAAATGAGATAAATTTTTGACTGAGCGAGCAAGGAGGGAAATATACCTTATAAAATGTTGTGACTGACTACTAAAAACCAAAACTAAACTAGACTAAAACGAGATCTATTCCATTTGTCCCTTGAAACAGAGGCTGTATGTATTTGTTGACGAGAAATTCAATAATTTTTAAAGCACTGCAAATAATTGAGGGCCTCGAAGTAAGGAGAAGACAAATTATTCACTATAGTGATGTGCGACTTTGCATTTCAATGTTGTTGCTTTGGTATGGAGTCATTTTTCTCGGTCGCATAGCGTGATCGAACCGGAATTTTGCATAATCCATATGATTTTGCATCTTTTGTGTTTTCGTACGACTGTCTCTCACGCATCGATTTTTCCTCTCTACACTGTCTACTTCAGTACTTGATCGATAAAAGTATGTATTTGTAAACGTTTGATGATAACCTGAAACATTCAAACGCGTGGCAAAATTCCTCACACTGTCTACCCTTTTATCAAAATTCAACATGATGGCTACTCTTCGAAAGTCTCTTAGACAGAGCAAGATCAAACGCAGGTCCGTATTCTTTCCAAAAATGAGGAGTAGAAAACAAAATGTTGAGCATGTCCAAAATGTCGGCCCAGCTGTGCTCATAATTGAAAAAAAGGCTTTACAAAATTCAAATTTACTGCTTACCCTTCTCATACATGTATTCTGGTTTTACGGATCAAAAGCTGCTTGACTAAACTTTTTTGGGATTTTCTAAACCGTTTTTTCCTTATCTATCCTTTATTTTGGGATTTTCCAAACATTTTCTTATTTATCCTTTACAATTTTTTGAAGAGGCTTACTGCTCCCAAAATGATTTTGCCAAATGATTACTAGCTGTGGCGTAAATTTTTATTTAGTCAACTGCAGAACCGAATAGCACTAACATGCACAGGGACAAATATTGGGACTACTTGTTTTTATAGAAAGCAATAATGATTTCTCATTATTTCAGTTCGCACTTCTCAAAACATGAAACATACATAAATGGAGTGAAGCAAATGTCGAAAAGCTCCTTCAAAGCATTCGTTGAATATAAGGTAATATTAGGTTTCAATAAAATTCCTCATTCACATCCTTTTGTAAAGACGACAAATATTTTTTTCGAGTATTTTTAGGGCCCTGAAGGAGGATTTCGTGTCAAACTGGCGGACAACGCTGATGATCTTTCTGAGGAGGAGGATGATGATCGTACCAGCAGGTAATGATTCATTTTTGGCGTTCACTTTTCTAAAAAGACATTTTAGATGTTATTCTGAGATTACCGATAGCGAAAGCGATATACAGCCATACGGTGCTGCACAAAAACAGCAGGCTGAAGCGAAGAAGAGGCACGATAAGGTGGGTAAATGGTTCCTTTCGGCAGGAAATTGGCATTTTGCCCGATTTTCAAAAATTTCATTCTAGGCCTGGTTCGCCGCTAAAGAGTTGGTAGACAGTGAAAGGAGATATGTCGACAAATTACGATTGTTAGATGAGGTAAAT